TGGACTTCAGTAAAGCATTTGATAAAGTAGATTGCAACTTACTACTTGATAAGATAGAAAAATGTGGGTTAGACAGCATCACCATCAGATGGATTCATAGCTAGCTGACCGGCCATACTCAGCGTGTGGTCCTCACTGGAACTGCATCTCCATGGAGGGAAGTGTGTAGTGGGCCCAGTGCTCTTCAACATCTTTATCAATGATTTGAATGAGGCAGGAATAGCCACCACTCCAGAAGACAGGCTTTTTACAGGAAACAAAAAAGAGAAAAGGTCTAAGAGAGGAGAAAAAAAAAGTCACCGGATCAATCACAGTGGGTTTTTGCGCTTAGATGTTCTTCTGACTTCTGGTTATAGCAGCAAAGTGATTGGCCATTTTACTGGCCAATCTTTTCTCCCTTGGCCCTAAGGAGCAATCTCGGATCATGGAAGGAGTTGCCGCCCTTCCACAGTCGACGAAGACCTCTTCAATGGTAGTCGCCCCTCCAGGGCGACTTTTTGACCCGATTAAGGGTCCACCGGCGGAGGGAAAACAGCCAGTGAAGAGAGAAGTCTCTCTCTGTACAGCTGCACATGCCGCGATCTGGAACCGGAAGTGCAAATACAACTGATTGAGGACTACGGCAATTTTGATAACCAACTATTAACCACAGAACTGGACATAATTGAGTGTCTTACTCAGCAGATTCAAATGTTGAGACTTGAATTTTTAAAACAACAAGGGATTATTTACAAAGGAGTCAGATCCCTAAAATAGAATAGAGGACGCTCTTTCTTGACTCAAATGATACCACAAGGAATAAAGAGAGACTTATTTGTTGATATAGAGGCTTTGTTATGGAAACTTGCTTGGCACAAAAAGAAGGCTAGAATAAGATTTAAGAGTGTGACCTAAAACTGTACACAATGGGTTTAAAAGGCTTTTTAGACAGAGATTGATTCAAGGTTTAAGATTGCTAAATTAGACATTTAGAGATCCTGATTGAATAAAGATTAATTAAATATGTGAACTTAGTGAGAATATGTTTTTCTTTGTATTAATATATTTGTTGTAGATATAACAATTACTTGGATTGGATTTAAATTTTATTGAGTGGGTTAAAAGAGTTTTACATAGATATTGATTGATTGATAGATTATAGATTTAAAATAGAGTAGAAATGTATTTTTTGGAGTAATATTCTTGTTTTGAGGAAGGATAGTTATTTTATAATGGAAGGAGAATAAGAGGGATTTTTGATAAAAGAAGTAATGATATTAATAAATGACTCACTGATTATGTTAAGGAAAAAGGGAAAGGAGAGACACCTGAAGTGTTAACAATATGTTTATCTAAACTAAATTGGAATATGGTAATTGTAAATAGTAAAGCTCAATACAGGATCTGGATTTATATAGATGAAATGTTATTGAGATTCTTTTGATTGATTGAACTTTATTGAAAAATACATTAATTTGAATATATTATTTGAGGGAATAGAGAGGGAGTTTTTAATGATTTAATCTGAATTACATATGCTTTTGGATAATTGATTATCCTGTCACCACGTTGTTTCTCAAGCACCTGGTTGTAAAAAAAAATCAATAAAACTTGTTAAAAAAAACAGATCTGCTAACAACTAGAAGCAAACAAAGTTATAAACAGTAGGCAGCAAGGGTTTGTTAAAAAGAGATCATGCCAAACCAATCTTATTTCATTCTTTGCTAAAGTGACTAAATTTGTAGACCAGCGAAACGCTGTGAATGTAGTATACTTAGATTTCAACAAGGCATTTGACAAAGTAGACCACACCGTGCTGCTTAGTAAGCTAGAGAAAGATGGAATAGACAACATCACCGCCAGATGGATCTGTAACTGGCTGACAAACCATACTCAATGGTACTACAGCCATATGGAGAGAAGTAAGCAGTGGGGTATCATAAGGCTCCATCTTAGGCCCAGTACTGTAATATCTTCATACATGACTTAGATGAGGGAATTGAAGGGGAACTCATCAAATTTGCAGATGACACTAAACTGGCAGGAATAGTCAATACCCCAAAAGACAAGCTCAGGATCCAAAAAGATCAAGAGAAACTTGAACAATGGGCCCTATCCAACAAAATGAATTTTAAGGTGGAGAAAAGCAAAGTTTTACATTTAGGCAGGAAAAATCAAAAGTATTAGTACAGATTAGGTGAGACCTGGCTCAAAAACAGTAACTGTGAGAGGGACTTTGGAATTTTAGTGGATGATCACTTGACTATGAGCCAGCAGTGTGTAACTACCGCCAAAAAAGCTAATACAATCTTGGGTTGTATAAACAGAGGCATAAAATCAAGATCACACAAAGTATTAATACCGCTTTATAAAACCCTAGTAAGACCACACCTGGAATACTGCAACCAATTTTGGTCACCATACTACAAAAAAGATGTTGAGACTTTGGAAAAAAGAGCAACTAAAATGATCAAAGGCTTGAAGATTAAAACATATGAAGAATGGCTACAGGATTTGGGTTTGGCTAGTCTAAAAAAAAGAAATAGGGGTGATATGATAGCAGTATTCCAGTATTTGAGGGGCTGCCACAAAGAAGAGGGGGTCAAACTATTCTCCAAAGCACTAGAGGGCAGGATAAAAAACAGTGGTTGGAAACTGATCAAAGAGAGAAGCAACCTGGAATTAAGGAGAAACTTCCTAACAGTAAGGACAATTAACCAGTGGAACAGCGTCTTTCAGAAATTGTGGGCACTCCATCACTGGAGGTTTTTATGAAGAGACTAGATAGTCACTTGTTTGAAATAGTATAGGTTCTCCTGCTTAAGCAGGGGGCTGGACTAGAAGACTTCCAAGGTCCCTTTCAGCTCTATTCTATTCTCTTTCTCCTAATGCTTTGCTCGCAAAAGCCCCTCGCAATCTCTCTCTCTCACCCTTTGCTCACAAAAGCCCCTCGTGCTCTCTCGCTCTCTCACTGTTCTCTTGCAAAAGATCCTTGTGCTCTCTCTCTAGCCCTTCGCTCTCAAAAGCCCCTTGTGCTCTCTCTCACCTTTCACTTGCAAAAGCCCCTCATGCTCTTTTCTTTCACCTTTCGCTTGCAAAAGCCCCTCATGCTCTTTCTCTCACCTTTCGCTTGCAAAAGTCCCTCGTGCTCTCTCTCACACTCTTCACTTGCAAAAGCCTCTCACATGCTCTCTCTCTTTTACCCTTCACTCGCAAAAGCCCATCATACGCTCTGTCAGCCTTCGCTTGCAAAAGCCCCTTGTGCTCTCTTTATCTCTTTAATACTTCTCTCGCAAAAGTTGCTTGCACTCTCTCTCAACCTTCGCTCGCAAAAATCCTTGTGCTCTCTCATCCTTCACTTGCAACCCCCCCCCTGTCTCTCACCCTTCGCTCACTAAAGCCTCTTGTGCTCTCATCCTTCACTTGCAAAACCCTTCACGCTCTCTCACCCTTTGCTTGCAAAAGCCTCTCACATGCTCTCTCACCTTTTGTTCACAAAAGCTCCTCGCGCTCGCTCTCACCCTTCACTTGCAAAAGCCTCCCTCTTTCTCTCACACATACACACACACTTCTCCCCAAAAGCCTTTCCTTTGTGTCTCTGACATACACAACTCTCCAAAAGCCTTTCCTGTCTCTCACACACACTTCTCCCCAAAAGCTTTTCCTGTCTGTCTCTGTCACCGCTTCTCTGACAAAAGCCCTTTCTATTCTGACTTTCACTGGCATCTTTTTTTTTCCTCTCCCTCCTGCCAAAATGGCCTCCTTTTATATCCACTCCTGTCTCCACCCCCTCCTCTTTTCTGGGTGTGCCAAAGTGTCTATCCTAGGACCTTTGTCTTACCTGAGCAGCCCTGTGGTTCCTGATGACTCTCTTACAGCAAGTCCTATGCTGCACTGCTTTAACTTTTTCCCTCCCCCACTACACTTGTCTAGGCTAAGTAGGGCTGCGTACCACCTGGCAGGAGCCAATGTATCACTGCGTACCACCGGTTGAAAAGGCCTGATATAGGCTCTCCTGCTTGAGCAGGGGAATGGACTAGAAGACCTCTGTCCCTTCCAGCTCTATTCTATTCTGATTTTGATAGTCTACGTACAAAGAATAGCAAGCAACCCAGAGATAGTATAAAGTAGATATGTCAAACTCGCGATGTCACATGACATATCGGGACTGTTTTGCCATTGGCAATGGGGTGGGCGCGGCTTCTGCATGACGTGTCTAGCCTGCGGGCCGGCAGTTTGACATTCCTGGTATAAAGGCATGTTATTTCTCTGTAATTTATCTTTGGGTTGTAATCTGTAAAAAATCTTACTCAGTTACTCCTTTGGCTTTTGATTCTTCTTCATTTATTTCTTCACAAATGGTCTTAAAAGATAAAAGGTAAATCCAACGCCTATGTTGATGCTCTTATATTTTCAAATAAGCATAACATTTCAGAACACATTCAAGAGTAGTATAATAGAAGAAATGTTTGTTCATTTGGTTAGTGTTCATTTGAAATATATCAGTTGGTAAGTATATTAGTAAATGAGGCACCTAACATGGGTCCTTTTGAATTACTGTAAATCTCTTCATACTTTAGTTCCACTAGCTCATCTTTAGTTCCAATAACTCTTTCAGTAGAAAATCTTTCACCACTGGTCATTTTCTGTTTATATAGATTTGGCACTCCTGACCATCTATGTAAGACATGGACTGTCTGCAGTAAAACTATGTTGTTAACAGCATAGGGGAGTAACTTGTCAGTTTTACCTAATTTGCAGAATCCAGTCATGTCCCAAACTGTAAACAGATGAAGTAGAACAGAATCCAGAAATACTTAAGTATAGTTAGCCTTGCCTGGAAGATAGAAAATCTCTTATATAAGACTTTATTTAAAGACTAAGAAGTTTTTAAATGTTGGATTTTGGATGTTACCTTATTAATATAAAGAGCTGTTATAAAGATTTGTATCTCAGTTTTACTCCTTGTTAATAATGACCAAAAATTAGTTAATGGATACATTTAATTTTTTTTTATATAGCTTCTGAGTCGTGCTGATAGACCAGAACAATCATGTTTCGGAACAGTCTCAAGATGCTTCTTACAGGTGGTAAATCAAACCGTAAGAACAGATCCAGTGGTAAGTAGAAGGAGTGTCTTGATGCAGTGCAATCATCTTAATCCAAGGAATGAAACTATTACTAAGATAGATCTAGGTAGACTTCATAATAGCATTGCTCCTCTTGAAATAATGCTTACTTTGCTATTCATTCATTCATTCATTCGCTGCCTCAATCACTGCCTCAACTGCTGAAATAAACTGTAGGTGGCTTATGTATTTGGCTTAAAGTGATTATAAAGATATTAGGATCATCAAAACAGATAATTAAATGTAACTATGTTGGGAATAATAACTAACTTAAAAGAATTAAAATGATATCACAATAGACTACTAAGGACTGTCATTACACATTTGGTGGAAGAGTTGTATGAAAGCTCAACAGGTAAGGGTCATTCTTCTATAAAACAGACTGCTACAGAGAAGAGATACCTCCTAGGTCTTGCAAGGTGACAAAGCTTTATAGCTGGATCTAATGTATATCAACTTTACTAGATTTTTACAGTTTGAGTAGAAATTATAGAAGAAAGACAAGACAATCAGATCCTAAGTTATAAAGGACATTAGGCGATAATCAGTACTTTGTATTGCAATCAGAATTCTTGTAGTAACTGTCCAGGTCATAGAGCAGAGACGTTACATGGGCAAAATGAAAAATAATATGATTGCTTGTAATGCTGCATTCTGAAATGATTGTAACTTCTGGGTGTTGTTTGAGGGTAGCCAAGTGGAAGGTGACTAAAGCATGTGTAGTTGTAGAAGTTCCTCTCAATCCTGGAAAATGAATTTGTGCAAAAGCTCTCCTAGTCCTGTCTCCTACTTGCCCATTGAGTAGGAGTCAAGACTGCAGAAAAACTTTTAAATTACATATATGTTTTACCTAGGGAACTACTACCAAATCAAGAGCTTAAGATGGTAAATCCTTGGCTTGAAATTTAGAGCAATCAGTCTTGCTAAGGTTGAGGCTCATAGCTTGTTCCTCCCCAAGAGGAATGATATGATATACAGTTGATAATGTTAACATCTCCAAGAACTTTATTCACTTCCTCAAGGCTCATGAATTTTTCTAATAGGGCAAGACCCCTCTACATTCAATGCAAAGGGAACTGCCCAGCCAGAGTCCAACTTCAATCCATCAGATTCTTATACTATTCCTCAATGTGCCCATTAAGTTTCCCTCCTCTCTATTAATACCGTAAGTTGTTTCAGAAAGGGCTTTGGGATTGTGATCTGCAAATGCAATAAGAGCAGGTAAACAATTTTATCTCACTATTCTTATCACTATTGTGAAGGCTTTAATATGGAATTGTACAAGCATTCATTCAGTCTCTTTCATTGTCTTTCCCAGCAGCACTGTAGGCATGTCTTTATTATGATGTCTCATTTCCTAGAGCTGTTCATAAAACCAAGAATTCCCCCAGGATCAATGTTAACAAATCCAGCTCACTCAGACTTGAAGGACTCTGATACTGAGGAGTCTACTCTGAATGTACCAGACATCAGTAAGCAATTTAGCACCTGAGGCTGACCCTGCCAACTATCATTAGAAGTATATCTAGGCAGTTGATGAGGACCAGGATCTTGAGTGCCATTTTCCATGCCAAGCAGGTCAAAGTTCCTCTATGTATCTCCTTGCCTGGCATCTCAGCCTTTATTGGCTGCCACTTGACAGAGACTTTACATAAGATAAACTCCTTTGGTACAATCATTCTATCTCAAGCTTTGTACCCTTTGCCTCTGAAAATTCTATCACTCTGAAACTGGACTGGCTAGATATAAAGAACTAGATATAAAATTTAATTATGTGAACTATGAATTGGTAATACCTTTGCCCACTGCTTTGGATCTCCCTGTTTGGAATTTATTTGTAAGCAGGCTCATGTGTTATTGGGACTTTGCTGAGGTGCTTGCAAACACACTCTGCCTTCTATTGCCTATACTTGCTTTATCCAAAAGTAAAACCTTTGCAAACTAACATCTGTGTCTGTTGTTGGCCTGGAACAGGATAAGCATATAGAGAAAGGCCACCTCTTGCAATCGTATTGATCGCTGCTAATACTCACTCCAAAGATTTATCAGGGTTTCAGATAAACTGCCCATCAAAGAATCAGAAAACTCCTGATTATCATTTGAAAACCATCAAGCACCAAGGCAGGGTAGAGTGATTTAATAGCTCCCATCTCCTTGCAGGGGACAGCAGCACCAGAAAACTCCAAAGCTATCAGCAAGTTGTCTGATCATAAAAAGGAATAGATAATAATGGTCTTAGCTCTTAGATCACTTTGCACTCACCTGAAATAAAAACCAGATCAGTCTTCTGACCCTTGATGTGCTTTGAGTGCTCAATAATCTGGGACATGGCCACATGTAGCCATTTTAATATAGCGTCAGAAGCCATCTAGGGTGAATAATAAATAGGAAGAAAGAAGCTAAAATAAATCTAAGACATTAGACATGTTTTCATATGATAATTTTATAATTTTCTCTCTTGGTTGCAGATTCATTAATATAACATGAAGAAATCAGATTTAAATAGATCTTCTTTCTTATGTACACCAATTTGGAAGTAGAATATCTTGCACTGAATATAATTTACTTTTTAGTAAGCTTGCCAAGGTCAGCAGACTTTTTATTATGCCCTTGAGAAGAGGGCAGCTGCTGTCAAAAAAAAGTAAAATTAAATTAAATTAAATGCTCCAAAATCATAGCAATATGAAACGCTGAAAGTTTACAATATTTTTAACAGTGTCACCTGAAATGTCTCAATTTAAACATACATAGGCCTAATATTAATGCTTCGGATATCCCCAATTTCCCTCTTTTCATAACATAATAGTACAGAATAATTATCATACATAGAATAAACATATTAATTCAAAAAATACAGTCTTACTCTATTTTACATATTTATTCTACTAAGCAAAAGTTTTTCTTCTCAGTTATAGGTCTGAGTCTTAAACCTTAGATCAGTTCGTGTCTAAACAGCCTTTGTAATCCATTACATACAATTTTAAAACTCATTTTTAAGTCTTATTCTGGCTTTCTTTTTGTGCCAAGCAGGTTTCCATAACAGGGCTTCTATATCAAGAAATGAGTCTCTCTTTATTCCTCGTAGTATCATTTGGATTAAAAAAAAACATCCCATTTTCTGTTTAGGAAAGCTGGCTCCTTTGTAATTAATGCCTTGTTGCTTTAGAGATTCAGGTCTCAATGTTTGATTCTGCTGAGTAAGACACTCAGTTATGTCCAATTTTGTAGTTAGTAGTTGATTTTGTACATCAATTCCTGTCGCTTTTGAAGTTGTATATAGTTTAGTTAAAGTTACTTTTTTTTCATCAAAAATCTCAATAGGTTGTATGTAAAATGACTTAAAATCTTCTTTGGTGTTACTTAATTCCTCTTCTGTTGTTTTTTTGTCTGTAAAATGATCAGGTGAAACCTGGGGTTCAGTTTGTAAATTTAAAATAGAGTTTCTGTTTTTTATTTCTGTAGTAATCTCTTTTATTTTGGCACATACTTGCTCAGTGGCTTCATAATTTTTTTCCAGTATAAGTTTACAGTTAAGTTGTAAATAGGGTTTCTCCATTTCTATAATGGCTAGAAGCAATCCTTTTATCTTTTAGTGAGGGCTATATTTGACAGCAGTTAGCCAATGTCCACCCCCACAATTGCAGCTGTTTCAACTTCTTTATCTTTTCCTTTTTGTGATGATTTGAAGATCAAAACCAACCTCAGCATCAGACTAGAGAAGGCAGTTGTAGTTTTAAATTTCACCACAAGATGTCGGCAGTAGATTATATAATCTTTTCCCAGATATCCAAAACAACATTAAAAAATTTTTAAAAAAATTCTCCATATATAAACTAGGCAAAATAATGAAGTTCAGTAATAAGAATTTTTTCGGGACCCCAAAGTAAATAGAAGTAAAAATAGTCAATAAAATTTAGTTATTCTTTCGTTTTGTTCAAAACTTCTCTTCCCACATTAACGAACGCCGCTCTCTCGAGGCAGGGAAATAATTCCCCAAAAGCTTTTTACATGAAAAAAAGAGGAAAAAATAGGATAAAGAGAGGAATGGAAAGATCTCACCTGGATCATCCACGGTGGTTCTTTACGCTTAGATGTTCTTGTGACTTTCGGCTGGTGCAGCTATGTGATTGGCTTTCTTACTGGGTGATCTTTGCTTCGTCAGCCCTAAGGAGTAACTTGAGCTGTGAGAGGAGCTGCCGCCCTCCCACAGTCGACGAGAAGCCTCAAAGAGGTGAGAAAGTAACTTTATACCTTTTTCATAATTCTGTGCAGAAATAAAAATAAAAATGAATGCCCAGTGATAAAAGTGAAAATTAGGACAATTAAAACCCCCAGTATTTTAACCTAGTGGTAATTTAGACTAAAATCTGGAAATCCTTAATAATTTCTAATATTGTTGAAAGAACTTTAAAATGTGAACCTGGAACTCTTCTAAATACATCCTAGTAATACAATTCTTGCAAACAAGCTCAACCATCTATTTATGTCACTTTTAATCAAGAAAGACAATTTACATCTGCAAATAGAGAAATTATTCTTGGATAATTTTTCTAGCATATTTAAAATAATTCAAATGCTAAGCAAATTCCCAATTTTTACAAATTTTCATAAATAAATTAGAAGAATGTAAATAGATATATTAGCGTACAGAAAATTTCTTTCTTCTTTATTCAAATCCTCAGGTTTGGCCAGTTGGCCTGTATTTGTTTGCTCCTCCATTGCTTTGTGATTGTGTAGTTTTGCATCTCACTGGAAACTTGAGGGGAGGAATGTGTCTTTGTTTCTACCATTTGAAAGAGGTTTGTCCTGTTTCTGCCTAATAATTCACTCTACTTGACTTCGGGTGAGTTTGTAATAAGTGTTTCTCTCTTTGGTTAGTTTCCATCCGTTGCTTCTTATCTTGCCTTCAGGTGCTTTAGAGAATAGCTTGACTCCCTCTTTTTTGTGGCAACCCCTGAGATATTGGAACACTGCTATCATGTCACCCCTCGTCCTTCTCCTTACTAAACTAGACATATCCAATTCCAGCAACCATTCCTTATATGTTTTAGCCTCCAGTTCCCTAATCATCTTTGTTATTGTTCTCTATACTCTTTCTAGAGTCTCAACATCTTTTTTACATTATGGTGACCAAAACTGGATGCAGTATTCCAAGTGTGGCCTTACCAAGGGGTTGTAAAGTAGTATTAACACTTCATGTGATTTTGATTCTATCCCTCTGTTAATGCAGCCTAGCACTATGTTGGCTTTTTTGGCAGCTGCAGCACACTGCTGGCTCATATTTAAATGATTGTCCACTAGGACTCCAAGATCCCTGTCACAGTTACTACTGTTGAGCAAAATACCACCTATACACTATACCTGTGCATTTGGTTTTTCTTGCCTAAATATAGAACTTCACTTTTTTCACCATTAAATTTCATTTTGTTAGATAGCGCTCAATGTTCAAGTCTGTCAAGATCCTCCTGTATCTTAAGCCTATCTTCTGGAGTGTTGGCTATTCCTGCCAGCCTGGTGTTATCTGCAAATTTGATGGGTTTCCCATCTATCCTCTCATCCAAATCATTGATGAAGATGTTGAAGAGTACTGGGCCTAAAACAGAGCTTTGGGGTACCCCACTGCATACTTTCCTCCATATAGATGCAGTTCCATTGAGTGTGGTTGGTCAGTCAGTTATGAATCCATGTGATGGTGATGCTGTCCAACCCTCATATTTCTATCTTATCTAGTAGTAGTTGTGGTCTACTATATCAAATGCCTTACTGAAGTCCAAGTAAATTATATCCACAGCATTCCTCTGGTCCACTAATATTGTCACCTGGTCAAAGAATGCAATAAGATTTGTCTTATTGCATGTTGGCTTTTGGTTATGACTTTGTTTGCTTCTAGGTGTTCATTGATTCATTGCTTGATTATATTTTCCAGAATCTTCCCAGGTATTGAGATCAGGCTGATAGGCCTATAGTTTCCTGGATCTATTTTTTTCCCTTTTTTGAAGATGTGAACTACATCAGCTCTTTTCCAGTCCTCTGGTAGTTCCCTGGTGCTCCAGGATCTTTGAAAGATATAGTTCAGTGGTTCTGAGATCACATCTGCCAGTTCCTTTAGAACTTTGGGGTGTAATCCATCTGGTCCTGGTGATTTGAACTCATCTAGGGTGGACAGGTGTTTACTTACTATTTTCTTGCCTATTTCAACTTGTGTTTCTAATCTGTTTTTTACGGTACTGTTTTTGATAGATTGGATTGTTTCTTCCCTTTGTGTAAAGATGGATGCAAAAAACGACTTAAGTAGTTCTGCTTTCTCCCTATTGCTTGTCACCTTCTTGCCACTTTCTCCCACTAATGGACCAATCATTTCCTTTTCTGGTTGTTTGCATGTTGAAAGAAGCTTTTTTTTGTTAGTTTTGATTTTTGTCGGAAGCCTTAGTTCATTTTGAGCCTTAGCTTTCCTCACTTCATTTTTGCAGGCTCGGGCTATTTGCTGATATTTTGCCTTAGTTATGTGTCCCTCTTTCCACTTTTTATACTTGTCCTTTTTGTCTTTCAATTTATTAGAGTTCTTTATGCAGCCATGCTGGTTCCTTTTGAGAGCTGTTATTTTTCTTCTTTGTTGGTTTTATGTTAGACTGGGCTTTTACAATCTTACTTGTCAAAATTTCCTAGACTTCTTGAGTTGTTTTCTCCTTGAGGATTCTCATCCATGGAATCCTTCCCAAGCTTTTGAAAAAAAAAGTAACAAAAAAGTAACAAAATTTCCATATTATTTGATTTGATTGATGCTTTCCTTAATTGTATGGTATTCAAATGGGTTTTTTTTTAAGGTGAATCAGTTTCTCATTTTTTTAAATTGTGCTGATCTGATCAAAAATCTATTTTTACACTGAATTTGCATTAACAAATCTAGCAGCTAGCTGTAGTTCCTGAATGAATTTCTTACTCTGTATCAATTTATACATGTTACCATCAATTATAGAGTGCCTAGAAAATCTATAGAATGCCAAAATTGGGACATCAAAGTATGAAATGCTTAATGTTTCACATATTTCCTAGGTATTCTAGACCATGACATAAAGCAAACTGGCAAAATATAAAACATGTCTGCTGAAATGCCATTGTAGCTTTCCCTATTGCAACAGGTAGGTCAGTACTGGTTTTTTTCTCTTGTTTTTTTTTTCAGTAAGAAAGTCCTATACTTTATTTTGCATTTCTTCTTTCATTTTCATATACATCTTTTCAATAAAGGGTCAGTCTAACCCCAACCCCTAACCTTTTTCATGACACTCTTCATACTTTGCTTAAATAGTTCTGTCATTCTCTATAATGCATATACATTATATACAATGCCTAGAGAAAATATGTAATATATTAAAATAACAGATATGTCATACTTTGCCTAAATATATCACAAATTTCCTGGGCATCCTGTACAATGCCAGCTTTTCACTTATTGCCATTAACATATATATTAACGAAGGCCAGACTGAAAAGCAACAGCATTATAGTTTGTACAACCTTGAATGATTATTTTGTTTTACTTTTAGATTAGGTGAGCATTTCTCTAAAGTCATATGTATGATATGTATCAATTTATTTACAAGCTATTAATACAATCTAGAAAGCATAAAAATTAAACATTTAAAATTCTATAGGAGTATAATATTACCTATGGATTACTTTTAAAGTTAATTATTACTTTTTTGCTGAAAGGAATTTTGTGCCAAATTCAAATTGCTAATCTTCTTGGAGTTTTTATTTTTCAGATTTCCGGAGAACATGTTTTAATATAGGTTTTGTGTATTATCAAAGAGATTCCTTTGATTTAAGTTGAAGCAGTTGCACACATTCATCAAGTATTATCTTTTTTTGTAACAAGTTTTATTAATTTTTCAATTTTTACACCCAAGTAATTAGGAAACTTTGTGGTGATAGGGTAATCAATAGTCCAATAACAAAGTCATTCATGAAAATCTGAGGTTACATCATTAAGGGCTCCCTCTCTATTCCCCTTAATTATTATATTGTATTCAGTTTCATACATTTCTTAGTAGAGCTCAATCAATCAATACATTTATGAACACAATTTTAGTTATACATATTCAAATCCTGTTTTTAAGTTTTACTTAATTCCAATTACCATGTTCAAATTTAGCCTTTGATAACCATAATGTTTAAACTTCGGGTAACCCTCATTTCATTACGGGATAATTATCACAGCTAAAGTACACATATTGTTCCAAAATTTAGGTTCTTATCTTATTTCACTAATATATTCTATTTCTCATCCTAATAGCTCCTCATTTACTAATAAAATATCTTTCATTGTCACAAATCCATTTCCATATAGCAGTTCAAAACTATAATCTAACAGTTAATTTTCATTTCCATTATAAATTTAAATACTAAATATTAAATCAACCAATGTCTCTAAAAATCTCCTTAACCCACTAAATGAGATTTTATGTCCCATTTTTAAATCTAACTCTGGCTTTCTTTTTGTGCCAATCAGGCTTCCATACCAATGCCTTTGAATCCTCAGATGTGTCTCTCTTCATTCCCACACATGCTGTTTGAATCAAGGGAGAACATGCAGTTATCAATTTTTCAAAGGAACTGGCCCTTTTGTAGTTATTAGGTTGTTGCCCTAAAACCTTTTAGAGACGAGTGCCCAAAAACTGCCCCTGCCCCTGCTCCACTTCCTGCCCTGCCCCCTGCCCCTTCCCCTGCCTCGGCCTGCCTGCAGGGCCACTCACCATCTCCAGGGCCCGTCGCATATCGCCCAGTCAACCCAGCAGCGCCATGGCGGCCACGCCTTCTGCCCACGCCCCACAGCATCAACTGTGCGATGGGGCATGAGGGCAGAGTCTTGTCTACGCTGCCTGGCTGCTATGTCCTTGGCTGCGCTGCTCCATGTGGGCCACGCTCAGGGGTGACTCTCCTCCAGGGGGCTGCTGGTGAGGGGATCTCGGGGGAGGCAAAGCTGGGACAATAGCACATATGCCTATAGAGAAGACTCCGAGTGCCACCTCTGACATGCGTGCCATAGGTTCGCCACCACTGCCTTAATAAGTCAAATCTCCATGTTTGGTTTGAAATGTTCGTCATCAGTTCAGTCTGGTCGTCGTCTTCTTTTTCTTTTTCCAGTTTTGTCTGAGTAGAATAAAAGGTCATATCCAGTGTTGTCATTATTGCTTGCTTGTCTAGATTGTCAACATTCTCATTATGTTGTAATTGTTGTTCAGTTCCTGTTGCTTTGGGAATTACAAGTATTTTGGTTGGAGTCAGTATTTGATTATCAAAGTTCTCCAGCATGTTAGATGTAGCATCCACCGGTGGGATATTTCAGCCTTCCTGCTCAAGAGACTAAGTTCGAAGTTCAGCCACACCTCCTTGGGGCGGTCCTTCTTTCCCCCAGTTTTAACTTAGTCTATGCTCAGGAGGACGCAACTTTAATGGCTCCTCTGTTAGATTAGAGTTTTACTTATTTAATTGAACAGATAGGCATTTATTTTCCTTTATTGGTGTTTTTTTGTTTTAAATTTATTATTGTTAGAAATTTAACAGTATTCTTTTTTGGGCATTTGGAGACAGTTAAGCTTCAGCCAGCAGGGGCTCGTAGGCCTCAGGGGCCGATCGAGCCGACTCCATCAGAGCCAGGAATAGCGCTAAGCAGCTGCTTAGCGCTAAAACGAAGCCTGGTTTCGGCGCCTTGGAGCAAGCTGCCTCGTCGTCAGATCTAATGGAGCGCAACTCGGTTGGGAGGACTCGTTCCTTCCTTGTGGCCACGAGGCTCCAGCAAGTGCTGCATTGATCCGGATCGCAGCGGAGGCTATACAACCAACCGCAAATGTCTCTGCCTTATAGATAAAGAGGGGGAAGGGGCAAGTGTTGCAGGATTCCCCAGTATTGTTGTTATTCGGGCAAAAACAGGCATTGGGGAAGTTCTTCCTTGAAAGGCATCGCCATTTTGGAAGACACGAGGTTGCGGCTGCCATTTTGAAATTAGATTTCGGGTGTGGTCACTGCTGTAGGCCTTGTTTACCAGTTGATAAATTTCAGGGCTGAGAATTTTATACTGTAGCCTACTGTGTTGGGCTCCTAAGGGGGAAAATTACACAGTATCTCTGATTGATTTGCTTTAATATTCTACTAAAGGAAGAGTGGAATCAGAACATATACACATAATTCTATTCTGTTTATAATTAAGGGACTATTGAATTACCTGTTCTTCGTAGTTCGCAGGCGCTGTTGTCAGCAGGGCCTAACCAGGCAGTTCTAGTGGACTGTCTGGCTGTTTGCCATCGTTGTTGTTCAGAGCGTGGGAACTTCCCTCTCTGACAACCAGATCTGCGTAATTTTCCCCCCATTCCTGGATATATCCTACTCAGAATATCCAGCAAGAGATGGCAGACAGTGAAGCTCCTCAGACATCGCAGGGTTCTGGAGTTCCCCCCGCACAACCAAAGCACAGGTCTTCTGAATTGAACGTGGGGGGAAAGAAGAAGGCTAAAACCAAACATTTAACCACCAAGGAACCCTCCAAGGCTGCTGAGAGAGAGGCCTCGAGGAGACATCAGGCACTAGAAAAGGAATTTTCCAGAATTCAAAGGCTCAGGTCCAGTGAGGCTGAAGTGGTTCCCCCTGTTTCACTGGACCGGTCCCCATTTGATCCTCCAAGTGTGCCTTCTTATGATGTCCCCAGGGCTTGGTCTCCTCAAGGGGAAACTGAACAGGTTAGTCCCTATTCCTCTCCTTCTCATCTTCCTCCTCCTCCTCCTCCTTCTGTTTCTTCTGCTTACATCACACAACAAGTTCCAGTGCCCACACATTCCCCCACAGCGGTTGGTGCTCGTTCCACAAATCAGGTCATGTGGGCAGAACAGTTCCAGAGCTAAATGCATCAGGCATTCAACCAATTTATGGCTTCTTCAATAAGTCAAGGGTTTCCCCAGGCACCACCGCCTCCGCCCATATCAGGTACTGGTGTATCTGAAGCGTCATCTCAATTAGGAGAAGGTGAATCAGTGGACCTGGAATTGGTGGATATTCCCATGTCAGGGGATGAGGAGGCGGCTCCGGACCCGACTCCTACAATGGGTCTTTTTGATCCATCCCTGTTCAGATCTTTACTTCCGAAGGCCTGTACCACGGCCAATTTGGCCACGGAGCAGGAACCCAAACCATCTACCTCTGCTACACAGGAGTCTAATCCTCTGTTTGCAGAAAAGGTAGTGGAGGATAAACAGATTCCTTGTCCTGCCATATTCCACACTACCGTGGAAAAGCAGTGGGCCTCATTGGCCACTTTGCCTTCCCCCAATAGCACGGATAAGAAACTTTTTAATGTCTTCCTCCTTTGTCTCTCTTCTAGAGGTGCCTACGGTGGACACTCCGCTCACCTCTCTGTTCTCCACATCCACAATCCCTGGAGAAATGGCAGAGAATCTGAAGGCGGAGGATAAAAGGTTTGAATTTTCCTTCCGCAGAGCTCACCAAGCCTCGGCATGGGCAATTAAGGCAGCAACATCTTTGTCCTTTTTTGCAAGGACATCCATTATGTGGCTTCGTGAGTTACAGGCTCTGATTCCCCCTGAACAGGTGTGTACTCACCAGACGCTAGAGAAACTGGTAACGGCGTCAGAATACATGGCTGACTCTTCCCTACAGTCTGCCAAGTTCTCCGCTAGGTCCATTGCGGCCACGGTTTCTTCACGCAGACTCCTGTGGCTCAAACACTGGAAGACAGACTTGAAATCAAAGTGGCGTCTATCAACAGACACTTATAGTGGGAAGCAGCTATTTGGCCCGGTTCTTGAACTGTTCCTAATAGAGGGGAAGGATAAGCGAAAGGTTTTGGCGCACCATTCTAAGAAGGTAGATAGAAGGCCTCAACAGGACTTTTGCAGGCAGGCCTTTCGTGCCGGGGACTCTTGGGAAGGGAGGCAGCCCTTTCGGAGCGGACAATCCTGGGATTGGTCCAGAAGCTCTCGTTCCTTCTCCCCCAGGCAGGATCGGCAACAAGACCGCCAGGGTTCTGGAACTAAAGCTCAGTTCCAGTCCAAACGTACCTTTCGAGGGGCTGGGGGTTGCCCTTTCAAGAAATCCAAGTGAAGCCAGGGCAGACCCTCCCATTGGAGGT